GGGATTTCTTTTTCTCTCTCTGCCGTTCAATATACACGATCCAGTTATAATACATACAATATTTTATGTCACATCTTTAAAATTTAAAATGACGGTAGTTAAGAATTAGCTTTTTTGAAGTGGCTTTCATTCCAATAAGATTCGCTTTCATATTGATGCTCTTTTATATCCATTATCGAAAGATGAGGACTTGTTAACAATGTCATCCAGCTTGTAACCAATGCAAATTTCCAATCGAGACCGCGAAAAAAGTCTATAGCGCGCATTCATGATTAACATGGGCGTTCATCTCGTTTCGGAGGAGTTTTTTTTATTGGCGCACATTAGCCCTTGAATATTCAATCTTGGAAGAAGAAAACGTCAAACTATTATTGTTTTCGTATCTTTTAACTCCAAGTATTCAAGCAAGCAAGTCTATGATTTCTGTTCTAATGTTTAATCAACCACCGAGAGAATGCCTCCTAAACATGAAGGCACAGTAGTGGTTAGGACAAATTGTAACCAGAGAGGAGGGGGAAGTTTTCTTTCTTTTAGGAAACTTTAGGCAACTCAGCGCAGTGTCACCTAAACTTATTATAGCTCAACTTTTCCTATGAAGTTCTGCGTTATATTATTGATAATATATTTTACTTGGGTAAAGAGGACAATGAGTTTTCATCGGCAAAACACATTCACATGTAGTTGAAGTTGTTCAAATAATATTTAATAGTAATTATTACGGAAAGCGTATATATTTTATGGATCTACTCGGCTTAGCGAAAGAAATATTGAACTAATATTTAAAATGTTGAAGAATGAATATTTTATAGAAACGTAGTCTAAGATGAGAGAGTTTTTGGATGTAAGTGATTGAAATATTGACCTCGTAGGTTTTGCATAGAATTTACTCCTATGTAACTGATGTTCGTTTAATATTATATAAAATATATTCGTTAACGCTTGAAATACATTCTCGTCTATGGATTTATATGTAAATGTGATGTTTACAATAGCTAATATTTAGTAAGGAAAACATATATATATATATATATATGTGTTGTTGAAACGCTTCTTCTAAAATGATCTTAGTGAATTATAATACGTATGTATAATGCAAGATAAATTCAAAGTTAACGTAAACTATACGTTCGTAAGCAGCTATGTTCCTATGAGCGCATTTCCACCAAAACATTGAACGTCAAACAAAACATGTGTATGTGTAATTAATTATAACAAGCATCGAAATTGTAAACAAATACATGCACTAGCATAAGCAAGAATTTCCATTGTTTTCAAATAGAATTTATTCTGACAAATTTCATACAAATCCCTACAGGTGTCATGTGCAAACAAATCATACCATTTTTCATGAAAAAAAAAATATATAAACAACCGTTGTAAAGCTGAAAGCAACACATCCAGCTGAGGAGATGGATTTACTTTTTATGAATAAATGAATTCGTTTAACTTATTTCCTGCTATATTATGATCAAAAGATAGCAGCACGTTTTCATTCAAATCGCGTAAGATTATTTAAAAGTGTAATTGTTGTTGTTTTCTTAGATTGACTGTGGCATCTGCGTCGAATTTCGTGTTAATAGCCTTTGAGCTCATTTGCTCTCTCATATTTCGATTTCTTCTCAATCTAATCAAGATAGCGGATTAGTGTTTTAGTTTTTAAAACAACCAGAAGTCGGGGGAAAATGGTGCGCATAAGAAGATTGCAGGAAACTATGAATTGAGTTTTCCGCGAAAAAACGCGGCATAAGAAGATGCTTTGCTTGAATCGGCTGAATTTGAAAATAACGTTTTTTTTTTGATTAATTTTCTAATCTTTTCTAAGCCTTACTACTCTTGCTGCTTGTAATGCTGCAGGAAAAGGTGACTAAAAATTTAAAACACAAGAACAGAAAGGCAGAATCACGAATATATATATGTGTATGTATATATATATCATGCAAAAGTTATTATAAAAATGTATTATATTCATGCGATAGACTTGCGTTTTATTATACCGTTACGACGATACCATATTTAATCGGTTAAATTTTCATGAAAATTAGTCGATTTTCTATGAAACTAAATTCTAAAGAAGGGGAAAACCAATCACATATTTATGGCGCTTTGGCTGCGTCATGCAGCTGGCGTCTGGCGGAAAGATACAATTGGTAGAAATTTAGGGGAAATCGTATAATAATAAGTTAACAGATTAAAAATGTCGCGACGCATTTAGGTAATGGCAAATTGCTTGTAAAGAAAATATAAGCAGAAAATTTGCGGAAGGCAAAATCATTTGAGTTAGTCGTGGAAAACTCGAAAAGAGAATGGAACCGGTTGTAAGTCGCAAAATAGCCGAGCCAAGAGAGTTGAATTGCGATGTTAAAACGGACAAGACCAGAACCAGAACTAAAGTATAAGTGTAACAGATCTCGTAAATTTGTAAATAAAACGTTATATTATCCTCAAAATCACAGTTAAGTGGTACGAACTTTATTTCAAAAGGAGTTGGATTTACATTACAATACAAACAGATTCTAGTTGGAATTATTTCTTGGTTCGAGTCGATCATATTTGCCTGCCTATGGGTCTGTTCGCGCGTCTTACAATATCAGTCAACTTAAAATTATTGCAGCAAAATCAATAGAGTCCACCTTGATTGAGCATAATGTTTTTACTTGTCACTTGTCTAAAAAGTTTCCGATTGGGCTTTAAGCACCATGCGTACAAAAGCTATTCATATATTCTCTAGAATTTATGTTTAATGAAAATTTCTGATTGTGCGTCTAATTAATTATTGCATGTATCCTTGGTTAGTCGGGCAACGAGTGTAATTCATACAGTGGTTTGGCCAAATATTCGACTTGAAAATGAAAAAAAGCTTCGTCCAAAGTACATAATACATTTATTTTCTGTTCCCGGTTAGAAAATCCGGAAGACTGTGGTGGGCCGCGGTTTACCATAAGATACCCTACAACACGATACATTTATTCATATAATGGCTTTTGAAAAGAAGGTGTTGTTGTATGAGAACTTCATTAGTAGTCGAGTAGTTAAGAACCGCGATTACCACGATTCGGTGTTCACCGGTTCAAATCTGAGTGGGGTAGACTTAGCTTCGGTCGTGGCTGTGAGTCGAGTGAGTGCACAATCGGTAAAGGCCTAGCACTTATCGATTGGTATACGCACCCACTAGGTTGCGGTCAACCACCTTCCTATCTCTTTCTCTTTCTTCGCATCTTTCTGAAATATGTAATGGGATAGGGTAGTTCGGTTTCTTTACCTTTCGATAATCATCATCTGTTGAAGGCGTTATAGAATAATTTTAATAATAAAATCTTCAATCTCATGTACGTAACCGAAATCATAAGATTAATATTTTCAAAACAAATATTTGTGAAGATGAGTAAAGCTCTTGAATTGATGGCAGAGAGCCATTCGCTTTAGAATCAATCATTCATTTGAAATCTATGATTGTTTCATTGCATGAATTCTGTATTTATTTTTCGTCAAATTATTGCTTCATATGCTGGATGATTGGAAATTCTTGGAAAGAGTATTATTTCAATTGTAACTCAGTTTTCTGGCGTAGCTATCGCAAATATATATATTTTTGTTTATAATTTTGTGTCTATATATTATTTGCTGATAAAATGAAAGAGAAATGCAAAAGCAGAACTAATAAGAAATCCCATCAGCTTATGCATTCATTTTGTCTTTTGTCATTTATAAATAAATACTTTTTTCTTTCTTGCAAAATTTTTCCATTAGATATTGCAATTGGTTGATATTTTCAATGATATTAAATTAGCCTTCAGTGGCATTATGACATACTGTCAGTTTCTATGATATGGGAATTTTTTCCCTATTGCACAATGTAACGCTTTTCAATTATTTAACAACAATTGTACTTGCATTGAAATAATAATAAGAATAATGGCAACAATAACAATAATAATTTCAAGAAAGAAGCAACTATTTCCCCCCCACTCTCTCTCTCTCTCTCTCTCTCTCCCTCCATCTCAATAAATAATAAAAATGCGATATAAACTAATAGAAATTGTAGGAAATAACAGGAACAGGAATAAGAACAATCAACCACACTATGACAACTTCGACCGCTCTGCCTAGTAAAGAATATCTTAACTTATTATATTTATTTGTACAGTTTGCTTACATAAGTTTGTATAGTTTGGGTTAATGAAACTCTTATCTGGCGTTATCCACAGTAGACAAGAATCTGATTTTTTTTTTATTTTCCGCTTTTTCTGCCTTCTTTTTTTTTTTTGTTTTTTTGCATATTATGACAGCCGATTGAAAAATAATATTTTAGAAGAACAAAAATAAACAAAAAAAGACACACAATGGAAATAAAGAAACCAATTATTTTAAACAGGGCAAAAGAAAAAGAAAAGCATATAAAAAGAAAGGAAAATAAGAATAAGAAATCGTGTGTTTGTTGTAGTCGTAAGAAACGGTTTGCTTGCAGAACAGCTTGTTGCCGTAACAATGACATTGTGCAAGACTTTAAATGCAGATGATTGAATAGCAGCTAGGACGAGTTTATGAATGCTCTTTTAACGGTTGCTATCCGCAAATCGCGAGTATTCGCAATTTAAGAAAGAACATCAAGTTGTTCAGTATAAAATACGCTTTGTAACGGAGGATAATATCTTAACTTGTGAAAATTGTTCATTCAATATCGTATGATGAACGGCATTAAATATAAATGCTTTCAATATAACATAAAAATTTTCCTTTTAATAATATTGTTGATATTATTATGGCAACGCAGTTACAGTCAATTTCCACGTAACATATATAAATCTGCAACAATTGCGACGTTTCACGATGAAACTGCCGACCGTGATGGCATTGATGTAAATGTTAGTGCAATAGCAGCCATGATAAAGGGAGAAAACATCAATGCCACGATTTATAAGAACAATATTGAAAATATTAAGAACATTAACAAATTGCAAGAAGAAGAAAAAGAAAAACAAGAAGAAGTAAAAGTTATAAAAATGGGGAAATTGCAAAGGAAACCTTTAAACAGGTCACAGCAATTGATGACGATTACGCCTAAAGATCAATTAAATGATGTCCGAAACGATAGTCGAGCAATGCATGATGTTTTACAGGATGTTGTCGTTGCCGTTGATGAGCTTCGCGATACGTCTGACATAATGATGCGAGCAAATGATGGTAACGTTTTAAGCGAAGATGGCACGAAACGTAGCCAGAGCAGAAAAGGCGGCAACTTCATCAACACTGACGACAACAATGATAATAATAACGTTAAGTATAAAACAGGAAATGATAAAAATGGGAATGAAAATGTAAATGATGCTCAAGATTACTACTTTGATGACCGAAACACAACAATGAAAACAGTAATAACAGCGAAGACCGTTGATAGCTTAAATGCCGGAAGTAATAACGCTGTTGACGATGCTGATGAAATCGATGTTGAAACGAAAGACTTCGATAATAAATCAGATAATGATATGGTCAACGATAATGTTGCAAAATGGCAGCAGGACATGACAGCCGCTTTGCAACAGCAATTGATCTATCAATTTGCAATAAAATACAAACAAATACCAAGAATTACGCTGTTTACTTGTCGTCAAACACTTTCGACGGAACAGTTGCCATCAACAGCCAAAAATATGGTGACATTTTTAAGACGAATGTACTCGAGAAGTGGTTTTAATTTGCCTGAAATCGTTAAGCCGTCGGATAGTTACGCTACCACAACGAAATCTTCGATACCGTTAACGATTATTCCGAATAAATCACGTAATGCAGAGCGTATAGTAAACAGTTTAATGGTGAAAATAGTGAAAATTGATCAATTGATAATTAAACGACGTCCTAGCGATACTGGCAGTCCATTACGACGAGGTTTCAACACTCGCAGCGACCGTCCATCGGATCGTACAACATTTACTAATGCCAATTGGCTCGATCAACAATTCGCACCAAGCACCTTTAAACAGATTGCCGTTCTAGATTTGGCTTGTGGTGCTGCCAGTCGACGTGTACTCGAAATGGTATCAAGACTGCTTTGTAATTAAAGCCATCATACACTATGTACACATACTCGAAAGAATGACTATTTAGTCGAATTTCTTTTCATTTGTTACTTGTGAACCGTAACCGTTCTTTATTTTTCAAATAATTTTTCTTCTTTTTTTTTTTTTTTGGTCATTGAAATTTACATACAGCTGTCATAATATACCGTGAATTTATCGATCATTGACGCAAATCTCATTTACTTTATATTTTTCTATTAAATGCTTCCTTTCTTTTTGTGCCAACAAACAAAACAACAACTCTACGTTGAAAACTAATAAATATCAAAAAACATACAAAAAAAAAAAAAAAAAAAAAAAAAAGTACCGTTGATTACTTGCCCCCACTACTTGCTTGTTTTTGCTATTGCATTGCACTATTGTTACTAATACTGTAACGGGACTGAATAGTTGCTAAACGTTATTTTATGCTGTTGATGTTCTATTATTCTATGTTTCTCCTGATCCTTTTCTTTTTCTACTTCTGCTCGATTTTCAAATGTGTGTGTGTGTGTGTGTGTGTGCGTGTGTATGTATTTATATATATATGTGTGTGTAAGCGCGTATGTATGTATACAATTTCTTTTCTTGTTTGTTTATTCGCAACTGAATGAATCGATAAACTGAATGTTGCAATAATAATATAATCAAACATAAACATATGCATACAATATTTTCAATTCGCAAACTTATTCATATATATATGTATACATTCATACATATATATATATATATATATATATATATATATATTTATCATGTATATATATGAATGAATGAATGTATATAGATTTATATATATATATATATATATGTATACAGGCCTCAAGTAAAGCTCTTTTTAACACAATGTATCACTGGCTGCTGATGGGGGATTATGCATTTAATCGACAAACTGAAACCGATGATGCGAATGATGTAAAAACCATGCTGAACAGTAGTAATAATGGTAGTAGTAGTAGCAGCAGTAGCAGTAGTAGAAGTGGCAATTGCAATAACATCAATACTATTAAGGAGAATAAGAAGGAAGTTGTCAGCAACAACGAGTTGCTGGTAAAAGTTGGAAAAAAATCAAATCCATCATCGTCGGATGTTGGTGGCGCCTCAACTTCCGGTTGTACAGACACTATTCATAGCGGTGGTGGCGGTAATCAACAGTATATGGCTGGCGTTGATGCAGGAGTCGCTGCATTGCATGCAGATGACACGGAGACTATTGAAAACTTTCTTGAGAAGCTTAACATCAATATAAATACAGAGTTAACGTTAGCAAAACGTACGCGCATTCCTCGTTATATAGCATCATCAACTCCCAAGCCCCAATACAATGATGATTATTATAGTACACTTAACGAGATGGATTACTACAAGTTGTACGATGTTTGGTACGTATATGTGTTTTTTTTATTTTCTGGTTATAGCGTTTGCTACAAAGAAACAAATCAAAGCACGAAAGAATGAAAATGAAAACTTTCCGATTATTTTTTTTTTTTTTTTCGTTTTACATTTTAGCTTACAGTTGTTCGATAGTAAATGTTTCAATTGCTGAAAATCTGTTCATCGGTAGTTATGCCTTATATTACTATAGAAATCGTAGGAAATATTAAATGCGATTGCATACTTGCAACTATCGAAATTGAGTAGCATTTCTTGTAATCAAATATGATTCAGATAAGATTTTTCAAATACTTTATTTATGATTGTAGAAGAGAGAACAGTGAGCAGAGCAGAGATCCACATATTACATGTGGATGTACTTTCAGTCAGAAATGATTTCTCATGTTTCATGGTTAAGAAAGAATAGAAACGGGGTTTAGTGATTTTTCAGCTGCATTCCGAACATTCATAGTGAAGTATTTAATAGTCAAGATACATACAATCTTTAGTACATTATCGTTTAGTTTAAAATTAGTTCCCAAATAGATTCTTTAATGCATCGTTGGAAATCTATATGTAGTCGTTGTCCTAGTCCCTGTATAACTTAGCCATTTGATGTCAAATACTTGAAAAGCAGAAAGTCTTTTAAGATTTCGAAAGCATTTGCAAATCGGAGGTAATGGCATATCGGGAATACGGCGAATGCGTCTAATAGTTGATTTCGCAAATTCTTCAGTTGACTTATTGCAACGATGTCTTCATGAGTTGGTTTGTTAACTTGACCGAAAGCGGTTTGTTTCTTTGCTAGCGTAGGCTACGAAATTTGGTTGACTGATCATCTATTGACAAATTTGATTCAAATTTTATCTCACAAAGATAAATAAGAAAAAGTTCTCTTTTATTATTTATCTACTAGCTTAGGGTATTAAACCATTTACTTGATCGGTTGAAGTTTCCATCCTTTTTTTTTTTTTTTGCAAATATTTCATTGTGTAGACACGCAATAACAGTTCACTGAATTTCACTTAGCTTAGCTCTATGAGATTTGCTTATATATAGTCAAGCAATAAAAATTTATGTAGCACTCGGAAAGCAAGTGCAATCTGCAAATAAGTCGTCACAAAAACATTTGTACTTTTGCTGTAAATATTTTTAACATAAAGCATTGAATTTAAACGAATACAAGACAAAATAAATTTTGTTTCGGGAGGAATTTTCTTCTCAATGCTAATGATAATTATGATGTATGATAATTATGAATTGAATAAATTACGAATGCGAATAAGTGGATATATTTGAAATATGGTCTGTTTCGAAAAGTCTCTCTGTCCGTATTTCGTGTGCACCTGTATCAAGCGTCTGGGTTCGATGATTTTAATTACGTTTTCATTGCATTAGGAATCCCGGCCTTCAATATGGTGGCGAATTGAACGTTTCGGCGATAGGCAATTTCACGCTTATGCACGGCCTTCAACTGGCTGATTGGTATCAATTGTCTCCTCCCGTAACTCGGCGTATGAATATGCATTTGGTGCGTGTGCGTTGCCTGGTGGTGGTAAGCTCCTATATTAGCTGATTTCCTAGCTGCATTATAGACAATTTTTTGTTGTTACTGCTTTTTGCTCAGATTATCCACAAAAATCGCACGGATACCTTGGAAGATTATTTGAACACTCACTATGACACACATCTTGATTCGATGAATCGCTTTAATTTCGCTCTACTATCAAATGTAAGAGATTTATTTAATTTCAGGTAAGAAATTGTGTTTGCAAAGCATAAACTAAAAATTTAATACAAAAAGTAATTTTTTTCAAAGTCATCAAGTTTATTATTTTATAAAACCGAAAAAGAAGCAAAAACTCAACAAAAACAATTTCTTTACACATTTCATTTTTCATAGCATGCCTCTTCTTCCTCTCCATTTGACCGCGCCAAGTTAAAGGTGTCTGCTGCAAAATTCATTAGGATTTTCTAGTGTTTATTTTTTTTTTTATGTCTTCTCTTCTCACTTTTTCTTTTTTCCATTACGAGGGCAACATATAAAGTGCTAGTATTTAAATGCACCAAGCATCAATAAATCAGCTTATCGCCTAACATCATCTTTTCAAATAATATCTCCGGAGTGTTCAAGGGAATCTCTTAAGAGATTCGATTTTAATAGCTATAGACAGACATTTACTAAATTCATTATTTCAATAGAAGAGAAATATCGATCTAAATATATCAAAGTAAATTTTTCGATATACAGAGAAGAAAGTTGACTTCGATGGCATTCGTTATCAAAAAAAAAAAAAGAAACGCCATTTGAAGTGAAATTCAAGTCGAGGATATAGAAAATAAATTTGACAAAAATAATGTTTTTGGCAAAATTTTCAAGAGAAATGCGAAAACATTCGCAACCTTACAAGAAGTTGAAGGTACAAATAAATAGAATGATTATACACGGTCAAGGTCAAGGTAAAACCATTAAATACCGTATACTATTTGACCTGATACAATCAATCAATCACTTCCTTATGGACCGACCAAGTCTGCTTTCTTTATTAAAAGTTAAATTTTATTTTGTATAAAAGCTTACCTTTCGTAGAAATGGTTATATAAAAAAAGAGTTCAATCCAATATTTTCCATATTCGTTCAGTATGCCGAAATAATATTGCTTAGCGATATTTTCGGGGAAATTTTGAAAAATCCTATAACAAAATATAGTAAAGTATTTTGTGAAGACTGGCCATAAAAGTGAATCGATTCAATCTATTTTCATTTTCACAGTACGAGCTATATTCAACATGTGTGGGCATACGCAACTCACAGAAGGACAGGAAATTGATTCAGCCTTAACTATGCTAATATGTTACGTGGGTCATGAGTCCGTGCTTAAATAGTGTGATTTGCCAAATATTCGGCTGTTTTCAGCTGCTATCAGTGCACTTGTATTACGATTTGCGAATATTATTATAATTAATTTTAGTTAAAGAAACGAATTTCAAAGGACAAAGTCTTAAAGGACTAGCATTTGACGTTATCGGCTTAATTGAAAAAACTTATTTACGTACTTGAGATTTGAAGTCACGACTATTGTTAGTTGTTAGTTGGGATAGTTAGTCCACTTGCCCACTTGCCCAGGTGGATAGGAGTTTACGGATGCATTCATCATGCTCTTCAGTTTCGATATCATATAATACCTTTGCATTGTCAGATATTAAAAGCTTCGTAGCCTGACACATAGATGACATTGCAAACAGAAAAATGTTTATGCTCCTCTTACCAGTTTCTGTCTTTCATGTCGATACCCTGCAAATTTCAATTTAATATCAATCCGATAGCTGAATGGAAATGACATATTTTACTTGCGAAAAGAAAGAGGGAAAGTGGAAAGGAATTTGAAAAGAAAAAGGGAAGTAAATCTGAAGGAAATTTTTGTGAGAATAGATCCCTTCTATGCAGTGCTATAAAAGCTATAGTAATATCTCTGTCTAAATGGAATCGTGCAGGCATTAGTGATCGTTGTTTATGTCGTTGATCTCGTCCACCATCGTCTATGACGTCGAGGGCATGCGATCGATGAGAGAGTGTGATGGGAAGAATAGACGCAAACCCCGATTCGTTAATTAATATTATTTTACTGCTAGTGTTAAGACGATTGTGAATGACAAAAATGATGACGTATCGACTATCATGTGAAAAGAAGGATTGAAAAAAAAGTTATATAACTATAATACACAAAACCAAAAAAAAAAAAAAATAAATGAAATTACGAATGAAGTGAGAAAGTGCTTACAGTATTGCCATCGTACGTTGGCGAGTGTATACCGGTCCACATATGTGCTTGGCAATCGCGTTCGCAATAAAGCATAGGTGTGATGAAAATATTTGGTGTGGTGTGGTCAAAAGTTGGAAATACTCTACCGTTCAATGAGTGAACGGATATCTCGGATTCGGTTAAGGCTGAATAAAACCGTAGCGTTTTGTTTTAATTTTTTGTCGATCACTGTTGGACGTTAATTCTTTTCCTTATTTTTTGTTGTTGGTAATCGTATCGTTGCTTAAATTGCAGTTTCATTTTGTCGAAAACTTCCTCTTGGGGTTATTTAAAGAATGGCAAATTTGATGGCATGATTGGAGCGTTAGTGCGCAAACAGGCGGATATTGGTGGTTCACCGATTTTTTTCCGCATCGAACGTGCCAAAGTGATTGATTACACAACTCGTACTTGGGTAGCTAGGTAAGGTGTACTTACCTGTTTATGCCTGTATAACTACATGCCGCTTATACACATTTATTCTCACATATTTGTACTGACTTTACCTCAGTTCACGCGTTCATGTTATATATACACGTACGTATGTCGTTTATCGTTTTTTGTTTTTTGTTTTTTTCTGTTTTCTTTTTGCTAGTACTGTATGCAATTCATCTCGTAGTTTATCAGAATTCCACATGCTGCTTGCTATATTATAAGCTTATACACGTACTTATATATGTAAATATATTTACGAGTTTCGTTTAATTACTTGAATCGTTTTCGCTACAATAACAGGCCATGCTTTATATTTCGTCATCCGCGAAGCACTAAGAAAGATCGAGTTGTATTCTTGCAACCGTTCACGAATGATGTCTGGGTTTATGTGGCAATATTTGGCATTTTTACTATTCTACTGCTGTGGATTTTAACAACAATTGAGTGCATTCTGCAACCTGAAAAAGACGTTGAACGGCCAACTACTACAGGTTTTATTGTATAATTTTTATATTTTTGTTTTTTTTTTTTGTTAAATTCTATGCGAGGTTGCAGTGTATAAATGCCATTTATTATAGTGGTAGTCGATGTGCAGCCAACACTTATCATTACTGGCGGATTACGTAAAACCGGCACCACTAGTAGCAAGCAGCGGCGTAACGCTTCGTTAAAAGGAAGAGTTGTTGGTAATATTTTAAAATTTTTGTTCATAAACTTTGGTAGCTTTTGTTGTGGCCAAAGTATTAATGCAAAAAAACAAAGCGGCCGCGTCGGTCTTTTTCTCGAGTCGTCACTTTTTTACGTGGGTTCGATATGCCAACAAGGTAACCATTTGCACAGTTTGTCATGTACACGTATAGCGCATAAAACGGTTTCATTGTAGGTTTGTCATTTTCAACCCATTTCTTTTCGGGTCGCTGCATTATCGTTACTTCGTTAATGTTTTCATTCGCCATTTATCAATTTTATTCCGCTAGTATTGTGGGTACTTTATTAATGGAAAAACCAAAAACTATACGGACGCTGCGTGACTTAATACACAGTTCGCTAGAAATTGGAATCGAGGACATCGCTTATAATCGTGATTACTTCTTGGTATGTGATTTTTGTTGTTCTTCCACGGCAATGATTTACGATACAATTTTATAAATCGTGTTAACCTAATAATAGCGCACAAAAGACCCAGTGGCGCAAGAATTGTATGCTAAAAAGGTCACGAGTGTACCAGCTGGTGAAAACGGTTTTAGTGACGTGCCGGTGGATGGTGTATTGCCAACTATGGCAGTTGAACTATCGGATGCCGCCAAAGCAAAAGCATATCGTGACATTTTACATAGCCATGAAACGGGAGCTCATGCCAAGGCTAGTGAAGCGTCCAACTGGTACGATCCGGATTTCGGTGTAAACAAAATAAAGAAAGGCCGTAAGCGTCTTATTAATCGTTAATTAACAAAAAAAAAATAAAAAATAAAAAAAATATCGAATACTTTTCTCTGTCGCTTAGGTTTCGCATTTCACGTGGACGTGGCCACAGCCTATAAAATCATAGCAGATACGTACACGGAGAAGGAAATCTGTGACCTAACTGAGATACAGTTGTTTCCACCGCAGAAAATGGTTAGCATTGTGCAGAAGGGCTCACCATTACGTAAAGTAATAACTTATGGGTAAATGTTTGTCGGTTTAATTGTTGTCATTCTAAGTATTTTGGTATGTCATCGTTTATTTATGCTCCCAATTAGTTTGCGTCGCGTTGCCGAAGCCGGCATTACAGACTATCAGCGTAAGGTGTGGCATTTCCCTAAGCCACGTTGTGTTAAACAATTGCACACAGACGACTTGAAAGTAAGATTGTTTGCTTTTCTATAATCCTCAATATTCATGAAACTATTCGTTCGTTGTTCGTTCATTCTTTCGGTCGTCCATTCATTTGCCTCAACTGTTTGTTTATGGATGCCAAGCTATAATTATTATTACAAGTCGATTTTCATATTGTCCTAGTCATAGAAACATTTTTTTTAATTTTGCTCTATCTTCTCTCTCTCTAACTGTTTCGCTTTCTCTTTTACTCTATTATTTCATGAGTATGCTTGTTTAGCTGTATCTTTAATTATCAAATTGCTGTCAGTTATTAACCTTCATCTTCTTACTATGCACGTTGTTGTTGTTGTTGTTCTTCTTCTTCTTCTTCTTCCCCATTTTGTTATTTTGTTATTCTTCTTTCATTTATAGGTTGATATGCAAACATTTACATCAGCTCTTCTAGTGCTTATCTTTGGCTATGCAGTTAGTCTGTTGATTTTGGGCTTAGAGATTATGTATCATAAATTATGGCAACGTTATGCGACAACATAAACATTTGAACATACGAGAACAACAACAATATATACATATCTACTTCTCGTTTTCTCAGTTCACGGTGTGTATACGTGATAAATATACTACACATTGCTTATAATACGACCCGGTGAATAAGCAACGATAATTTCTACATATTCAACCGATGCACACAAAAATGTTGAAGATGAAGCAGGAGATTCTCGTACACATACTTATATGCATACGTCTCTATATCAGTGCTCTTTGATTTTCGTTGTTGGGATTATATCAGAAGCACTAGCAGTAGTATTATTAGTACTAGTAGCTGTAGTAGTAGTAGTAGTTGTAGTAGTAGTAATAGTAGTAGTAGTAGTACTAGTAGCAGTAGTAATAACAATAGTGGTATTAGTTGTAGCAGTAGTAGTTTAGTGTGTAATAACGATAATGATAGTAGTTTTGACACGCTTTAAATGTCAATATGATGTTTAAAGCATTGAGCATAATAAATGCATCCTATTCAACGAGAGTAATTAATTATTTGCGAATGCTTTAAAGTGAAGTTACGATGCTCATAAAACGAGTAAAGAAACCCATACATATGAATAATACTTTATGTTTATACTTTAAGTCGAAAAGTTTTTCAATTAAAGGATAAAAAAAAAAAAACAACAATTTTTTACGTGAGAAGAGAATTGAGGGAGGGGGAGCGGTTTTTAAATTTTATTTTTTCAGATGTAGTATCTTAGAAATGCCTTTTAGATACGATTATTGTTCAAATGCGATCTAATCGAATTTCTCATTCATATGTAGACAGATATTTTTGATAATTCAGAAAACAATAAAATTCGTAACACGTTCACCTTTTGTATATCTTAAGAGTTGAAAAGCAAAAACACTCAAGGGTAGTCTAGTGCCCGCTACAAGAAAATATATTGAAAATTACATAGTTGGTTGCTCACCCTTCTTTGTTCTTGTTTTCTTAAACAGTCCCATTTCGATTTCGAGAAAAAAGTTTTGACATTTTTTTAAAGTAAACTTTAACAATATATTTTATATACATAGTTAGTTAATTTTTTTACTTGTGCAATTTAGAGAATTTTATGAATTTAACTGAATTCACTGATAGATCATTCAGAAATTTCGCAGCCTGATAAATGCAGAGACATATGTCTTCCCTTCTTTACACCAAATAATGAATTATGTGTTGGTAGTAGGTAGAGTTTGTAATTTAGTCACAAAAGGCAAACGGATTTTAATTTGTTTATCATTGTAGAAGAAGACAGGTGAGTCTGAGCATTGTTCAATACCACCGAACGAATTAAGATCTCGAAATTCATGATATGTTACGTAAAATCTTTTCAACCAGGCATTTAGTATTCTTTCAATTAAATTATGTTACTTATCGTCTATAAAGAATCATTTTTCTGAATAGTTTTCAATAAATTTATCAAAATAGATATGATATTACAGCTCTGCCCCAAAACAATGTATTACGACGTTTTTGTTATTTGTTATCGAAACCTAACATAATAAGTAAGAAAATTATTATCGGTCGTGACCGAATCTTTTACTCCATCACCATGATCCTAAATTTTTACATTAGATGGACATGGCTGATTTATTCCATTTCCAGAATAAAAGTAGTGTAAGTGTATGTGTTGTACTTTACGAGAGATAAACAAACAATACGGAAACCGTTGGTGCTCACGGTTTTTGTACATAGACGTGTGGGCGTTCGAGACGTAGGCAATTTTTTTTCATTTTTTTTTTTTTTAGAAGTATGGTAGTGTCACCCATAGAACATATCTGCAGTAGGTTATGAGTGCTAACCAAAAAAACCAATTTGTTATTCCTTTCGCAATGCAGAGGTGCTCGCAGTTTATGCCGTACTGTAGGCGTGCCTTCGACCGATTTGGCCCATTTCCAATTGCCTTGGTACAAGAACTTCCAATGTTTCTGCCAGCCTTGAAGTCGATTGCTTCATATTTGCGGCCAGGCGGATGTTTACCACAAACTTTACACAGACGGATAGACAGCCTGACGGATTGACGAACAGACTGACATGGTTAAATTGATTCAAAATTTGTTGCTGATCAACAATATATATATATATATATATATATATATATATATATTTTGTAAGGTTCCCGAAGTTTCTTTCTGGGCGTTGCAAGCGCTTTAACAAACTGAATATACCGCTCATCTTTCGGTGATGCGCATAAAAAGAAATGATTATGTTTTTATATATAAAGTAAAAAAATGAAGAAAATCGGTATAGCCGGGTAAGGCCGACTATTACATGTTTATACCCATTCGCTTAATATGGGCCTTTATATGTTTCCGTTATAGAATGCTAAAATGGAGACCTTCTTGCAAAGAAAAAAAAAATTTATTTTCAATGAATATCTTCATATCGAAGATCAAAGTGCGAACAGTAATATCTCAAATTTTTCAATTTTCTTACTCTATAAATTTTTAAGAAAATTGCGATCTGCCTGAGTGGCTGTGTAGGCAAGAGTCTCGACTAGCAACTCAATGGTCGTGGGTTCAAATCTCAAGTGCGGTAGAGTTTTTAATAAAGCCGAAAGTCTTAGATGCTAGTCCTTTAAGAGGTTTAGTCTTAGAATTTATTTCTCTGGCGATATTAATGATAATAATAATAAGAAAATTGGGAAAGAGCTTGAGATTAGGTCGTTCTCATACGCGGATTCGTCAACGATGCTTCACATATATATATCAGTTTGGGGAAAAAGAAATCCATTATTTTTACATGAACTTCAGGACTTTATTTAACATGCTTCGGATTGTCCGATTTGGGTCAAATAGGCACGGTTTTGGTGTATGATTTGTTGCCATTTTAAAGGTAACTTCAAAATGCCTCTCTCATAGAAGTCCTGGTCTCTATTTGCAAAAAACTCTAATAGTCGATTTTCACAATCCTCCCTAGATTCTAATTTTTTATCATTAAAGAAATTTTGCAATGCAAGAAAAAGATGATAATCGCTTGGTGCCAAGTCCGGACTGTATGGCGGATGCATTAAAACTTCCCAACCAAGCTCCCGAAGTTTCTGGCGAGTCACTGTAGATGTGTGTGGCCTAGCGTTGTCCTGGTGGAACACGACACCTCTCCTGTTGGCCAATTCTGGCTTGCATTTTCGCCTTTGTCAAAGAAAAACTGTAAAATGTACCGAATTTTCTCTTTGTTCACTTCCATTTTTAACACAACTGAATGCACCAAACAAAAAACAGCAAAAGAATTTTTTTTATTGCGAAATGTACAGTATGTAAATGTACAGTATCGGAAATTGTTTGATCGATACTTTACGACAAATCGATGAGTGCAGCCATCTACCGAAAAAATAATGGATTTCTTTTTCCCCAAACTAATATATATTTTTACACTGTTTAAACTTGTCTTGGTAAAAATTTCTTGTTAAACCTTGAAAGTATTTGGGTTAACTTGAACGAGGACAGAGATAACTCGAGATTTATCGAAAAAGTATGGAGGAGATTGTCGTTGATGCTTAAGAGCCGTAAATGGTATTAATAATCAATATAGGGTAAATATGCGTTTTATTCAAATTTTTTCGAATAATTGTACATTTGTTTTTTTTTTTTTTTGCAAAAAGGATCTTTTTCCCTCACGCATCACACTAATTGATTGTGAAAAATAGCAGCTTATACTGCAAGTTATCAATTTCATATATCATGTCGGGTGGGCCGACATTTGTTACTTACACTCTCCACCCATCTTATAGTGTACACAACCGCATAATGAAATGCGTGGATATATGTTTTATATATGCATATATTCATGAGTATATATTGCATACTATATATGAAAGATGTGCAAGCAGAAAATGACATTAAGCATATTAGTATAATAATGCAGTTTGCATGATATAAGCAATTAGCGAAATTCCATTTTTTTTTTCCCCCCAATCTTACTAAACTGATAACAGTAAATTGGGTTCATCAAATCGTTGGTGGCTCACTGTGTTAATTATCGAAACCAGTAGAAATTCACTTTGAACTTCTGGCCAGCCGAGCTTTCACGAAAATTAATTTAGACTGTCTCAGCAGAAATTATTTATAAGTATGCACATGTACATATATAGATTTTTGCTACTCGCGATTGCTTACCTAACGAATTTTCAGATGTTTGACTAAAACGATGATGTAAGTCAGTTTATACAGACATAATTAACACTCCAGCGGCCATTTTCAATACTTACTTACTAGCAAGCAGATATTTTAACTAATACTCTCAACTGGAAGTTAAATTATTTTGTTTTTCATATATTATTGTGATTGGTTTTTTTTACCTGCTATGAATTATTTTTTTATATCATTTTATTAACTATATGATAATTTCTATCCGCCCACGCCTGGAAGATATTTTGCATTTCAATTTAGTTTAATTTTTATTGATAACTCTTCCCAGGCATCTCTGCCTAAAACTTCAACGATGATTTCTTTCCATCTTTTCGTTTTTCGATGAAACTTCGATGAATACTTTCTAAACATGTTATTGTTATTCTTGCTTGGCGTTCGTCAGGCGATTGTTTTTTTTTTTTTTTTATTAATTCTCCATATGTAATGAAAGTAAGTCAAAAAATAAATTCAAGCATAGTTAAAGTAAAATTCTGTTAAAAAACAAATTAAATCCTCAGCCATCATAAGGTCTAAAAATCGGCAAGAGAAGAGAGAATCAAGTTCTCTCAATATAAAAATGAATTATTTTTGATAACATCAATTAAGCGGAATATGTGTATGAAAAATGCTCGAAACTTTACTTTGACAAATATTCAAAAGCTCAAGTTGTTGATATACACATATATGTGAATGAATAGGTGGGTAATGGACATATTAAAACGTGAACACTGTTATTTGCTTTCGTTGCTCGCACAGTCCTCGCTGTTATACAGTCCTGTAACGGCAATTTATATTGTCTAAAGGAATTTCTGATGAGTTGTCGTGACAGTAATAATTTTTTATTTTTTCTTTTTTCGAGATTTTACGGGAACACTTCAAAG